AGGAGGGGAGGGGAAAGAAACTCAGAGCATCATGGGGCCCCCCAGCAGCCTAGGCCTATAGCAGCATAACTAAGGGAGGGCTCAGGGTCACCTGATCCACCCTAACTATAAGCTTTATCAAAAAGGAACGTCTTAAGTCTAATCTTAAAGGTAGAGAGGGTGTCCACCTACCGAACTGAGACTGGGAGTTGGTTCCATAGGAGAGGAGTTTGATAGCTAAAGGCTCTGCCTCCCATTCTGCTTCTGTGGACTCTAGGAACCACAAGTAAACCTGCACTGTGAGAGCGAAGTGCTCTGTTAGGATGATAAGGCTCTACGAGGTCTTTAAGATACGATGGAGCCTTGTCATTAAGGACTTTGTATGCTAGGAGAAGGATTTTGAATTCTATTCTGAATTTTACAGGGAGCCAGATGGTTGTGCAGGGACTGTCTACAAAGTATAACAACAAAAGTACAACAAAAAAAAAATTGCTTTGTTCTTAGATAAATTTTTTCGAACTGAGTGTTGTGGTAACCAAAAGGAGACTGGTGATGTGTAAAGTGATTTGGGGTTATTACCCTAAGCGTGAATATTTTTGTAGTGCTTCTTTTTGGTGTTGCACTTTGTAGATGGTCCCTGCATGACCATCTTGTTCATTGTCATGGTTTTGTCAGAGTGAAGGCCTGAATGAAGTCCCAGAGGGATGCAGGGTAAAAGTGCTTTATGACTGAAGGACAGAACAGCATCACTTTAACAGTGATGAAGCCAACAATGTTACATATGTCATGTCTGAAAAGGGGTATATTGTATTAACGCATGTTGCAACGGAGATGTAAGTGCTCAGTGTATGTGTGTGTTTATGCGCTTGAGCTTTGTGGTAATCTCAAAGTATTGTTGGTGTTGGTCAGATGCTCATTTTATAGTTTACACTGATTCATGCTCAGGGCTGCAGAATGAAGGGTATTCTGTTCACAAATTACGATACAGTACAAATTATAGTACCACAAATGTGTGTAAAGTTAAATGGGCCATAGCAGACCAGCAGCTGACCCAGCATGGAGCTTCCTACTGTACTGGGAGTCCTGCCGGTTAGTGTCTCTCTGTGTTTGTGAGTGGCTGCTGTAGAAACCATGTGGAATGTGTGTGTGTGTGTGTGTGTGTTATGTTGTGGCACAGTGCCATGGTGGGCAGTGCCATCTGCTGCCCTGCCATGTAGCATCCAGGCCTGTATGGACACAGATGGAAACAGACTCCTGGGCCTGCTCAGCTCGTGCTGTCTGTATTTGCAAATGAAAAGTTAATCTTGATGTCCATGTTTCAGGGAAACACATCTGGTCATCTGAAAATAAACATGCACAAGTTCATTCTGCAAACAGATTATTTAGTGAATTAATGAGCTAATGTTGAATGATGAGTGTCAGTGGAACACGAGATACAGACAGGTGAGAAATTAAAAGAAAACCCTGAGTGAATGAGCGGCCTCTTTGAGTATGACAGTGCCCCCCCATCCTTAGGGCATGAGGGGTCACTGAACCGTTTGAGTATGAAAATGATCAGAATCAGATGCTGTGGCCTTCAGATTCACCAGGTCTCAACCCACTTGAATACCTGTGGGAGATGTTGGAGAGATACAGTATGTTAGACAGCGTCTCCACAACCATCATCAAAACACCACATGAGGGAATATCTGTTTGAAGAACGGTGTTCATTCCTTCAGTAGCGGTCAAAGACTTGAGGAGTCAGTGCTGAGATGAAGATATTCTGGTGGCCCAGCACCTTTCTGAGTCTCTTTATGTTGGGTTGTCCTTTCATTTGTCACCCGTCAGTATCTCCCTTTTGAAATTTACACACACACACTTGTTTTTGATTGAAGTAAAAATTGATGTTTTTTACATTTGATTTTCTACCTGTTTGGGTAATAAAGTCCGGTACTGTTTAAGCATTGTTTTAAAAAAAAAAATTTAAGACACCTGTTTCTGCGCCAATCATCACAAGTAGCAGTACAGCTCTATTAAAAAACACACTTTAGTAAATGGACATTTTCATTAAGTAGGGACAGCTCTCCTGATCATTGCATTTAAGTATATGCAGCTCTGCCTCTAACAAAATACAGAGAAAGTAATATGTCACTGAGTCAAATTTATTAATAGCTGAAGATTGATTCTGCTCTCTGGCATTAGTATTGGCTAGTCTGGCAAATACTTGTTTGAACATTCACACCTGTGTGTGAGGTAAACAGCTGTAATTATCCATAAGCCAAAATCTGTACCCTTTGAAAACTTGATTCAGTTCAGTTAGCTTACAGTTAAAGGTGTGAACCAGGAAACCCATAGGAATAATTGTAATAATTAATTTTTAAGCTCTGTGGTTAAACATTTCTGAAAGGTGTCACCTTTTCAGCTTTTAGAGCAGTCTGTTTTGTCAAAGCAAAGGGAAACTTTGTAGTGCCCTTTATACACTGTAGTATGAGCTCTCTACGGCCACTTCCATCAGACTTTATCAAATCAAATCAAATCAAATTTTATTTGTATAGCACCAAATCACAACAAAAGTCATCTCAGGACACTTTACAAAGTAAGGTCTAGACCTTACTGTTATCAATATTATTACATAGGGAAAACCCAACAAAACCCCTTGAGTAGCACTTGGCGACAGTGGGGAGGAAAAACTCCCTTTAATGGAAGAAACCTCCGACAGACTCCGGCTCTTGGTGGGCGGCCTTCTGCCTCGACCGGTTGGGGTGAGTGGATAGAGGAGAGACAAAAGAAGAAAAGCAACACGACACAACAATCAAACACTGATCAGGTCGATGTGGCTGGTGACTGCTC